TAAAAGCATCTCACTGTGTGGCCCTGGCTGGCCTCAAACCTGCAATCCTCTGCATGTCTCCATGTACCGAGCTGAAGTCACAGGCACATGTCACAGATCCTTACCTCATACTATACACAAAAATCAGTTCCTGGTTATTTGTTAGAGATTTATTACATCTATTTAGTGTGTCTGTGTACAGTGGTGCATGTGTGGAGGTCAAACGTCAGCCTGAAGGAGTCAATTCTCTTCCTCCACCCCGTGGGTCCTAGGGATTGAATTAAGGTCGTTAGCCTTGGCATCAGGTACTTTTATCCACTGAGCCATCTCCCTGGCTGGTGTTTATTTTTTTAGGAGAGGAGAGGTTTATTTTGGCTCCAGTTTAAGGGATATGGTCCATCATGGCGTGGAAGGTATGGCAGGCTAATGGGAGTGAGAACATTTGAGACTGTGGCACGGCTTGCTCCTACCCTCAACCTGGACCAGGAAGCAGGGCTGTTGTTGAGACAGGATCAGTCTCATGTAGCCCAGCCTGCCCTAAACTATGTAGCCGAAGATAACCTTGAACACCTGATCTTACCTCCACTTCTCAAGTACTGGAATTATGTACCACACAAACCTGGTTTTGATGATTTAAGTTCCTTTTTTTTTAAATTTTTTAAATTTTATGTATATGAGTGTACTGCCTGCATGTAAGTGCACCCATGTCATGCAATGCCTGAGGACAGAAGAGGGCATTGGATTCCCCTGGAATTGGAGTTACAGATAGTTGTAAGCCATCATGTGGGTGCTTGGGACCAAACTTGGGTCTTCTGCAAGAGCAGCCTGATCTTTAATTTTTCATTTGTGTTTGTATGTGTGCGTGTGTATGTGAGTAAGTGAGAGAGAGAGAGAGAGAGAGAGAGAGAGAGAGAGAGAGAGAGAAACATGTGCAGGTCTCCAAGGAGGCCAAAAGCAGGCTGCCAGGCTGAACATCACATAGTCCCTAAATTCTTTTCTTTCTTTTTCTTTAAAAGTGTCTCACTGCAACCCATGTTGGCCTCAAGCTTGCAGTCTCCTAAGTGTATATGTCACCTAGACCTGTTTAAAGATCTAAATTTGAAGAGCAAAATAAAAGTAAAGGAGAATTACCTTAGAAACCACAGAAGCAGAGAAAGTATATTTGATACCAAAAAAAAAAAAAAAAGG